TTTCTTTTCCTTTCTTTTCTTTTCCTTCCCATCTCCCAAAAGTCAAATTCGCCAACGATAATAACTTTTCCTTCGACATTATACTTTCGTAAGGTTATACCTAATACCTAATTACTTACATTGATCAAAATTTAACGAATGGAGATTATCGAGTAAAATTTTAGTTAAATGCGATACTCCCGTGAAATTAGAGAGAAAGTATTTATCAATAAAATATCTTAACAGATCTTAAGGAACTACGATATAAAATAAGAAAAGTGAAGCATTATATTCAAGTAAAATGAATCAATTAGCTTATCTATTATTCTAACTCTTATGAAAGACGTGACTATATGTATTATTCATTATTTATCCAGCTATTAATATTAAATAGACAAAAATATGAAAGGGCTAATGATGGTCGTTAAAAAGGAACCATAGCCAAATTTATATTTCAGTAGTTTCTCAGGTAAAGGTGATTAGGTAAAACTCATTATCCTTGATATTTAACGTGAAGCACTTCGCAAATGCCTGTAGGTATATTCTTCAAATGGGAAAATCTTCTTTCGTGAAAACGGAATTATCTAGATGAGATAAGGGGAAAGCATTGTTTTCTCTTTGAAAAGTTTTCTAAAAATAATTGTTCGAGATCGATCGAAAAAGCTTTCTTTTTTGTTTTTATTTTGTTATTTATATATATATATATATATATATATATATATATTTTTTTTTTTTCTTAACTTTTCTTTTTCTTGCAAAAGTGAAACGAAAAATTGCAAAATCCTCCCATATGTCTTTCTCTATTTCTTTCTTTCTCGCGAGTTTTACGAGTTTAACTTGTTCGGTTTGTACCTAAAAGTCCAAGAAGTATCTACCTATCCTCTTAGAAAGTAAACGTCGTAAATTAACGGGCGAGCGCCAAGGCGGAGAAAAGTTCTTTCTTTTTTTTACCTCTCTTTCTTTTCTTCTTTTTTCCTCTCTTCCCCATTCCCCCACTCTCATTTTCTTTTTCTTCCTTATCCTCCAAAGATTGAAAGAGAGATACCTATTGTTTGTTTATACCAAAAATTTCCTGAAACCACGAATGTATTCTCTCTTGAACTTTAAAATTTATCTTAGCAATAGCTATAACTTTACTTCGTCGTAAACTTTTTCATAAGAAGATCTGTTTCGTTTTTTCTAACTTTGGTCTTTAAAAAGTAATTAGGTAGATAGGTAGGTATAGGTAATAGATATATCTGGAAATAGCTATAGAAGTTACAACACCTTTATTTTTTCCTTTCGTCATACGGTCAGTATTAATGAAGATTTGCAAGCTCCTTAAGTGACAGTGGCGTTTGTACAAAAGCTTAGATAAAGTAAGTCAGATAACCATAATGGTGGGTCATAAATATTACAAGAGGTCATATACTTAACTCAGGTAAATTTTTACTCAAACGTATTAATATTTACTCAAACATATTAAAATGAATTGTTTCAAAACTTTTATTGTTTTTATTGTTTTATTGGCTTTTATTGTTTATCATGACATTTGAAATGTTCGTATGATTTATTTGTTTAATTTATTATTTAAACAATGATAAATCACTCAACTGTTTTTCACATATAGTTAATTAGAAATAGAAGCGAAGCGAAATTTCATTGAGACTGGGTATAAAAGTGAAGAAAATCAAAGTGGATCGTTGCTCTCTCTCTCTCTCTCTCTCTCTCTCTCTTTATCTTCCTTTACGTTCTTACGACGAGTGAATGCCGCGAGCGAGAAAACTTTGCCGGCCCTTCCTTCTTCTTACAGAACTTCCAAGAGTAGATTTACCGTCTGCTAATAAATCGCTGGACGATTAGAATTAATGCCGGATTAATTCCAACGGCCTGATAAATTCTCCAAGGAAGACCCTCTCCGAATGAGAGAAAGACTCCGTTGAAAATAAGTTTAAGGAGAGAATCGGTCTCTCTCTCTCTCTCTCTCTCTCTCTCTCTCTCTCTTGGAATAAAACTTACCAGTGCTTGAGATTAATCGTCTTGGAGAAAGTTAAATTTCGTTTAAAAAGAAAATATATATTCACGAGAAAATCCGTTTAATATTATCAAAGAGAAAAAAAATATAGGTAGGAGGTATTCACAATAGGTAAGAGCGCTCCCTCTTGAAAAAGTGTGAGGAAATTCGAAACAATCGTATTTCTTTTTTCTTTCTATTTTTATTTTTTCTTTTTTTTTTGTGATTTGAAAGCTTTGTATCGATCGATAAAAAGAAAGAGGAGTAAAGAATACAGTCCTCTCTTTGTAAAAGGGTCCAGTAAGAAATCTCGTTTTTCGAGTACCTCTCTTTCTCTCTGTCTATCTAACTCGACAGAATTCGATGATCTCCTCTCACTATCCGCAAACTTTTCACAATGCATTCTCATCTCTTGCACTTATCCCAAGTCTGTCACAAGAATGAGAGAAGAAGAAACGAACGAACGAACGAACGAACGAACGAACGAACGAACGAACGAACGAACGAACGAACGAACGAACGGACGAACGAACGGACGAAGGAAAGAAGGAACGAAGGAAAGAAGGAACCAAGCAAGTTCTTTAAAACTCTTCGCAGTCCGAAAAGGCCAAAACGTAAACTTCCACTCGCTCGCGTAGCACCTACAATATGTTTTCTCTCTTTCTCTCTCTCTCTCTCATTCTCTCTTTCTCTTGGCTCCACCGAAGCATACACAACCTCCATCGCGCCTCTACGCTCCTCTTTCTCTCTTGGAGGAGACACAAAGCCAGGCAAACGTTATCTTGATGAACCCTAAGTACTACAAGACCTATTTGGAGGAGAGATAGGTCCTGTGTGCGAGGAGTAGGGGTAAAACGAGGAGACGTGGCTCGAGGATAGGAGAAAGAAAGAAAGAGAGAAAGAGAAAGAGAGAAGGAGAAAGAGAGAGAGAGAGAGAGAGAGAGAGAAGAGAAAGAAATAGAGGGAAAAAAAGAAAGAGAAAGAGAGGACCGAATTCTCTCTCCTCAGTCCACCTTGGAAAAGAGATCTTTCACAGTTGTCGATGCCACCGTGATAAGGAACGGCATTCTCCTGGTTGCTACTCTTTTACTAGTACCAACCGTTCCTTCTCTTCTTCGCTTTTGCACTTTCCTAACTCTCTTCTTCTTCTTCTTCTTCTTCTTCTTCTTCTTCGTCTTCTATCTCGTTCTCTTTGATTCGGAACTTTTGGTGACAAACCAGCTCGCAGAGTAGTCCTCGAAGATCGAACGAAGTCCTAAAGAACGAACGAAGAATGAGTTGTTGGAAGACTCTCAGATAAAATCGAATCTGTGTACACGTTTCTGTGCATTCTGTGCACACGACAAGTAACATGTTTTTGATACTTCGATTTAAGATATACAAAATGATAAAAAGAGTTGACGATAACTTGATTTATCATAAGGAATGACATTTGTTATTTTATGAATCTTCCAATGTAATAAATAATAAAACAAAATTTTATATGCCCAGTCTGTATATCTTTATATGTGTATATAAGTATGCGTGTGTGTTTTTCAGAAAGACACAGTTCTATATATAGATATGTATGCGTATGGATGTACGAGAGATCGACTTCAACGACGTGTTTGCCGTTCCTGAGTTTGCGATTGATTCGCAAATGTTGACCAAAGGGATTAATGGGATCCACAGAATCGATCCTGAGAGAGAACAGGTCAACCGAGCAACGTGTTCTTCGAAAACCATAGTTACTACCATAATAGAGAATGTCAAGCAATAGTTAAAAGAGAATAATAAACAATGTAGTCTTAATGAATTACATTTGAAATCAATGCGAATGTTTACATTGCAAATCAATACGATTTACTACCATACGATTATTAGTTTGAAAATTCTTAAAGTTGTCCCAAGCCGTAATTCATTCGAAGAAACCAAGTTCAGTTTTTTTCATTGAGATCGGAAAAAGTTTTAGGAAATTTTTTTGAAGCGTCTCGAAGGCATGCAGACGTCGCGCGTTAAACACAGTTCCGATTTGTCGTGCTGATATTTTTGAATTCTGGCTAACGCCAGGCAATTGCGTTTCACCCTCCTTTGATTTTTTTCGAAGACCGCCGACGCCGTCACGGATTCACGTTTTTCTAACAATGACAGCTTCTAAAATCTTGCAGGTTTGACTTTCGGTCTTGAAAAGAAAAGAAAAGGAAAATAAAAAGATAGATTAAAAAAACTAGCAAATGTTGAATTCTTTAACCAATAGTCTCTCTCTCTCTCTCTCTCTCTCTCTCTCTCTCTCTCTCTACTATTTAATTGTAGATTAAAAATAATTATACCCACTGAACAAACTATAATTTCTCATCGTAATAAATCTCGAAAGTGTATCGAACGAGCTATACATTTCTCGATTATTGGTATAAAAAAGAAAAGCAGAAAAAAAAGAAAAGAAAAAAGAAGAGAAGCAAGAGGATGAGAAAAGAAGCGACGAGAGAACGAGTCGACCACGCCTTTGAAAAAGAAAAGATAAGGAAGACTCGCGCGCGGCTAACAGGCGCATCGATAAACTTCAATTTCGAACAAACGAGGAAAAAGCAGGCCCGGATATATCTTCGACACGCCCCAACACGGTGTAAAACCACGGACTCTTATCGTGACGAGGACCAGCACGAGAAAGATAAGTGACCGTTTAGGCGATCTCTTTCAGATACGAGGAGGATGCTCGTTCGTTCGCCGACGAGCAAGATAATCGTATTCGTTCTACGAGAAGCTACGTACCTACACGGTCTATCTTTTTCTATTCTTCAACTTTGCTGCTGGCTTAGTCTCTCTGTTATTCGCAAACTCGTACAGTCTAACCTTTGCGTCCACTTTAAGCCGACATTTTCAAAATTACTATGATCTTCAAAGATGCTAGATCAGAAATCTATGCAAGATTTAAATCGATACGTTCAGTATTTGCAAAAGTTCTAACTCATTTTCTTCGATCGGACATAGGTAATTTTTATTATGTCTACGTTCTTGAAAAATGTTCATCCAAAACAATATGTTCTTACAGGGTACAACGAGTAAAGGATCTTAGAAAACTGTCCTCGGAGATTTTCCAAGATTGCGGAGTAGAGACAAAGCACCGTTACTTCGTTCAGGTAAGTAGACCCAAAATGGGCGACTCATAATTTACTCACCCCTTATCTTTTTCTTTTTTCTTTTCTCTGTCCATTTCTAAACTTCCTAATATATTGCAACCACGAACCACAGAAATGCGTGGTGATTAATCGAAAGTCACCGGTCTCTTCGTTCACGCGTGATTCGAATCTTAAAATTTTTGGGAAATTAAAAAAAGGAAAAACAAAACAAAACAAGTCTTAATGAAAAGATCAAGTTGTGTTTCTTAATGAAAATATCAGGATGGGATTTTCGTGCAGAGCAAATTTCTTTTTCCACGGAAGAAATTAGGGTAACTCGCTCGTTCTAGTTTCTCTAGGCCTGCCTATAAGAAGTTCGTACTGTAGTTTAGTGGACCGAGTTTTCGAACTGTAGGTAGACATACTAACCTTTTAGGAAATTTCGAACTCAAAAGGACATCCGTAGGTATCATAAAGCCGGCGCCAGTCTCACAAATCCATACTACCTTTTCCTTTTCTTTTTCGCCTCGTTGCCTTTTTCAAAATTTTAGAAACATTCTAAGACTATTTTCGTTTCCCGATAAAACTTTTTTTTTTTTTTTTTTTTTTTTTTTTAGTTTAGATACTAGTTCGTTTATCATGTAAAAGTTAAATATCTAAGTTACGATCAAGAAAGTTCTGCCATGAAAATCTACCATGAAAATTCAAAGTACCTCCGGTATAAGAAGAATCTTCTAAACGCTCCAATTACGCCAGCTGAATCTCTTAACTCAAGGGATTTCTTAACCTAATCCCAACGCGAACAATGAGAGCCACCTGTCTTACTGATCACCGTTTTTTCTTCTCATAGTGATCCGTCTTAAAAGTTCCACGATTTCGCATGCGAGATCAGCCGATTAGGTCCAGAAAATATTCGCCAAAGTATACCGTCAGGATAAGTAGAGCTTAAGGATGAAAATCCAGGTAGTAATAGGTATATTAGAGCAAGTTAGGACAAGAGAGAGAGAGAGAGAGAGAGAAAGACAAATCCGTTGTTCTTAGCTCTTTCTTAGCAATCCGCGCTCTAAAATGTCGCAATGTCTTTAAGCTATTGTATCTCCGCCGTCTTCACAAGAGACGAAAAGAAGAAACGTCAATGGTTGCACCCTGCCTGCGCTTCGTCCCATTTTCCTGACCCAGGATTTTCAAGAGGACACCCCCGCAGGACCAACGCTAGACGTTGCCTCTATCTCTTTTGCGCACGAATATACCACGGTTTTATGGTCGCCCCCCTGCCTGATTTATGGACGGTGCGAACACCGTAAAATGTAAAAAGCATCTCGCCCGCGTAAGATCCTCTCTCTTCTGTTTCTTCTTCCAAGTTTCTATCTTTTTCTAGGGACATTCTACTCCTTCCAGTCAACTGACTTATAAAAATAAAAAACACAAAATATATATTTTATTTTTATAGGATTTATCGCAAAAACTGACTCGTTAATTTAAATTTAGATAATCTATCTCAATTTGATGATACCTATCTATTTTAGAGTATAAAAAAAAAAGGAAAAAAAAAAGAAACGTCAATATGCGCTTTCAAGTCGCAATTTTGGGGTTGTATCATCATAATTGATTTGCCAAGGTATCGATTTCAGTTGTAGTAAACGACTGTCCGTCCGACGATGCGGGATATCATTGTGACTCGAGGTACCCCGCATTCTTTCCAGGGATTATGGTATATTGTCCGCCTTTATGGCACGGGACAAGAGACGACCAAATAGAACTCTCCTAGTTTCTTGCTACTTCTAGACACGACTCTCACCCCCTAGGTAGCCATACAAAATTTCTTCTCCCATTTTTTTCTTCCTTTTTCTTTTTCTTTTTTTTTCATTTTTTTTTTTTTAACCTTTTCTAGGGATCTTTCTCGTGGTCTTAAAAAAGAAAAAAGGGAAAAAAGAACGAAAAAGAAAGAAGGAAGAAAATTACAAATGTAGAGATGCTATACCATTCTTTCCGATCGTTTACCTCTTTCAATAAAATGCTTCGCAAGACATCACCGATGGAGCAGAAACGATTATAGCTAAGTCATTAGTCAAATTAAGACGTCGAATTTAAATGTATAATAAAAGTCAAAAGGAATAGAAAGAAAAAGAAAGTAAGAAAATGAAAGAAAGAAAAGAAAGAAGTAAGAAAGAGATAAAGAAAGAGAATGAGTGACATGATGCTACCGAAGTTACTAAAGAACAATCATAATCGAGTTTAATTACTATGTAATTACCTGCACGAAAGAAGAATGAAAAATTCCTATCTAATAACAGGCCATCGATGGTTCTTCTCTTTCGGTGGCTATCTCATCTGAAAATTATTCTTCTCCATCACAGAGAGAGATAGATAGATAGATAGAGATAGAGATAGAGAGAGAGAGAGAGAGAGAGAGAGAGAGAGAGAGAGGGAGAGAGGGAGAGAGAAGAACACACAGACACAGACACGTTGTGTGTTTCGGTGGATCCGTAGTTATCTGGTAGCGCATTCCACCTTAACGACTCTGGATACTTCAACGCCGGAAGTCTACCCTAATTTCTATCATTACGGCACAATATTTTCTTCGATCGAGACGCACCGATCGACGTCTACCTTGCCACCTAATTGCACGTTTACACACGGACCTGCCAAAACGGTGATTCGTTTCGCACGATCTCGACGTAACCATTCATCAAATGACGAAAGAAAGAGAGAGAAGGAGAGAGATAGAGAGAGAGAGAGAGAGAGATAGAGAGAGAGAGAGAGAGAGAGAGAGAGAGAGAGAGAGAGAGAGATTGTACGCTAGCCCTTAAGAGAGGGAACTTAGTTACAGATGTGATTATTCCTTTCGGGATTGGTCGTTGCATCTTTATATTGCATCTCGAAATTGATGTATATGTAATTATCGAGGCCCGATTCATTTTTCATATAAGTTGTTTTTAATTAAATCCTATGTAAGTAGAGTCATATTATAGGTAGTATATACTCAATATGATATAATTTTAAGTTCTGAAGTAGAGTTGAAGTCTTATTTGAGAAATTTTCAAAGATGAGAGAGAGAGAGAGAGAGAGAGAGAGAAAGAGATTACGAACGCTCGTGCCTTGTAACGAGCAATGGGCGGTGCCTCCCTTACCTTCCTTTTTCATGGTTCACGAGATGAAAAGTCGATGGACGTAGACAAGTAACAACAAAGTAAACGATTAGAGAAAAAGGGTAGGTAGGTCGAAGAAAATTCGTCAGCTACGATGTATAATTCTCAAGGATCCTGGATCAGTGTGAGTAGTAGTCTACTTGTGTAATGAACGACAGGAGAAAAACGGTACACTTGGCTTCGATCGTTCGAGGAGTGGCTTGTAGTTAAGCGCTTTAGCGCCCTCGAACTCTATAGATGTCGATAGGGCAGATCGTAGGCCCTTCTCTGAAGGTGTACCACCACTCGAGAGAACGAGGGTAAAAAAAAAAAAAAGAAAAAAAAAGGTGACTCGAGTTTCGCGGGACACATCGAGTAGAGCCTTTTTAGCGCGCACCTTTCAAACCTTTCTCATTGTCGAGTCACGAAAGACGATGATGCTGAACCGGAAGTCTCTTTCTTAACTCGATGCAACGTGGCCATTCGTCTTCCATCTCACAATATGATCGATCTCGATGGCACGAGTTTGTTTCTTTTAAACTCCATAATGATTCTAATGGGAAAAGTCTTTATAAATGAGAATAAAATGATAACGCACATTGCATAACGACGATTTGACGATTTTGAATTTCTGTATAGCGAGAGAATCGACCGATCGATCGATTGATCGACGTATTTATGCGTTCATTATGCAACGAGCGATTGGATAAGACTTTTGTACGGGAGCGTGGCTAATTGAAACGCCACTCTGAAACAGATAAGCTTGCTCTCTCGCCGACGGAGAGTTACGAGACAATATTATGAGCCCGTCGTACGTCAACCTGAAATTAATTTCGACGAGTATCGCTTCGTGTTTCACAGATAATCGAGAAGCGAGAGTAGATATCATCTGTGGCAAACACGAGAATGTGTTAGATTAAATACAGAAGAAACAAAGAGAAAAAAAGGGAGCCGCGACACGTCGTATCTACATGCGGAAATAAGATAAAAATAAATTCCTATAAAATATAATAATAAATCGTTTCATTTTTAATTACTTCCACGTACTTTTCTTAACGCCTAATACCTGAAAATTCTATTAAATTATATATATATATATATTTTTTTTTTACAACTACCGAGTCCGTTCAGAAATTTCCATACGGTAGTCTGTGTAACTACGTACATAGGAAAGCCATTAACGTGTCCGGCGTTAATCCAACGTACGGGGTATGCAGCATTTCCAACGTTGGTGTGTCGCTCGTTAGGCTGATTTGTCGCTTTATTAGATCTTAGTTTGTGCCTGCGCGAACCGGCACTGCTTCGGAGGATCGCCAACATTAGCGCATTACATGCCAAGCGGCTCTGGGCAGATTTGCAATTTGCGTAAATTAGACGATTGCGAGCCGTCCGATCGTCGGCAACCCCTCTCAAATCGTCCTTTCTCTCTCTATCTCTCTCTCTCTCCCTCACTTGCTCAACTCTCTAGGTTCGTATCTCTAATGGCACGTGTAATTGGCGCGATAATTTCCGGCGCGCACTTTGACTTGCGCCGTTTATCGATACGCAGCATGCTAATTAAAGAGACTCCAATGCTTACTTGCTGGAAAGAGAAAGTGAGAAAGATTGAGAATAGGTATGGTAGGTATACCCTAGTGTAATCTTAGTCAATCTCTATTTAAATGATGAATAGTGATATCAAAAAAAGAAAAAAGACAAAAAATTAAGTAATACAACTTCATTTCTTTTGTAAAATAATAGAAATTAGAATAGAATGAACTATAACATGACTATTTTTATTTTTGAAATAGAAACAAAAATTGCAAGAGCTTATGGAAAAATTGAATAATTCTTTAGAATCGAATGGCATCTTGGATGCATTTACAAGAGAGATACGAAGCATATATGGACAAT